GATATATGATAGTATAGGAAGAGGGTATAATATATATACCGAGAGAGAGAGAGAGAGAGAGAGAGAGAGAGAGAAGAGAGAGAGAAAATATGTGTAAGCTTGTGACAGACGAAGAAAACACAAAAGAGAGAATAGTGAGGTGTCAGCATGCCCCGTCTACTCATTCAAAGATTTGAGACCGACATCAACATGGGAGAGAGTGCATGAGAATGTGAAAAATCACCCAACCAAGCACAAATTTATGCTTGTTTCCAAACATACCCGCTATATTTCTCATATAATATATTATATATATATAATATATTAGTATATATATAGTGACACTATATATATATATACTATATTATAGTAGAGAGAGAGAGAGAGAGAGAGAGATAGAGATTAATGGTGAGGCACCATGTGTCATAGAGGAGGGGATTTCGCATCCCTATGGACGCCTCTAAATCACATGATTGAGCGCGACATTGTGGATGATCCGAATAGTTGACTTGTCTGCTTTATGCACCAACACACCGGGAGGGTTTGGGGTGCCCCGTCGTCGTTTGACCCTTCATCGGAGGTGGAGCAAATTTTAACGTTTTAGTAGATTCAATAGAGTTTTTCCACATGGCTCGATGGACAGGGGTCAAACGACGACGGGTTTCACCCAAACTTGGTGGTGTTGGGGCGTTGTTAGAATCGATGTAGATCAACGTTCAGCGGAGCGGATCATCCACATGTCCGCTCATCATGTGATTTTATGAAGGAGCGTCATAGGCAGGAAATCCCTCCTAGGTGGCAAGGATAGCCCATTAATCTCATATATATGATATATAGTATATAATATATGTAGTATATGATATATACTAGGGAGAGAGAGAGAAGAGTTAATGGTATCTTGGTCAAGGAGGGATTTCTCCTTGAGCGCATCTAAAATCACGATAATTGAGGCGACATTGTGGATGGATACCGACTCCGTGAACTTCGAGTCTACACTATTCATAAACCCAACACACCCAAGATTTGGGCGTGAAGCTCGTCTTTTCGTTATGTGACGGCCCCTTCAGGTGCCACGCGTCGGTATATAAGTTGTTGAACGATTTTGATGATAGTAAGCTTTTCACATGGTCTTCGACTGGAGGTGCAGAACGACGAGGATTCACCCCAAACTTTGGTGTGTTTGAGCGTTTTAGAATAGTAGATGAGGTGGGAAGTTAAGCGGAGGTGCATTATCCACAATGTCGGCTCAAGGAGGGGTTACGGAGAAATCGCCCTCCTATGACAAGGGATACCGATTAATCTCCATATATATATTATATAGTATATTATATATATATAAATAGATATATATATATATTATATATATATATATATATAATTATATATATAATATATAATCTGAATATATATGATATAATTCTATATTGGATGGCAAGTGGAACTAGCTCAGTACCGTGAAGACCTGACGCTGGAGTTATCCAGCTCTGAAGGTCTGATGAGGCCGACCCAACCGCCTGAAGAGCACGCCGCAACGGTGCTCCTCATAACCGGTCCACGGCAAAATTGAAACATTCGGCGGGTGAAAACCGGGTCCGAAGATTCCGGAACGGCGGCGGTTGGGGGCCGCTACGCGACAAAGAAGTTGGAAAGCCCATGGAGATGCCAAAGGGTGGCTCCTCCCGCTTCCCCGAGATGCTCGTGTCGCGCATCTACCGAACTCCCACAGTCGTGTCGAAATCAAGACCATGGTAGATCCGGTCAGCAGCCGCGAGCGGTGTTGGTGTCGGTGGGGCCAACCCGTTGTAAATTAAGAATGAATGGCGGGGGGCTTATAAGGCGAAGTACGGGCTGTAAACGTTTTCGGGATCGCCGGAAGTAGTTGTACGGCGCTTGGAGCAGAGGCGGGGTGCGGCCAGCGCGAACGATACGTTGTTCACGGCGAGCGGCAAATCTAGCCCCCCGGGTTGGGCCCTGACAGGGTCTGGTTCTTTGGACACGGGCCTGGTCCGAGGCCCACGTGGAAAACAGTTTCCGCGGGTCCACGTCTCGTGGCCACGTCGGCGGGAAAACCGGTGCGCTAGCCAGGCTGCCGCAACTTGGCTAGTGAAGTTCGCGAGAAATTTCGTATCATTAAAGCGAATGAAGAATCGGTTTAAATAGGGGGAGCTTCTTGTTGGAGTGAAGCTGGACCGTGGCGACGGCGCCGAGGGGTTCTGGTAATTCGGAGGATCACCCGCGGCTGTGGAGTTGTCGAAGAGTGCCGCGCTTCCGGTGGGCGTAGGGAGCGAGCGTCATCGAGGAAGGGTGGGCGTTCAGGGGTACGGTGGGCTTGGTTTTGAGCAGGATGTTCGTGGTCTGCCCCGGTGCAAGGATTATTACGTCGGAATCAAAAGGTTTGACGTAGACCGCGTCTACGTCGACCGTGGTTAGGGTGTGGTCGGCGATACTGAAGAAGAGTTCATCGTTGAGTGCGGCGTTGATGATACGGAGGAGGTAGGTCTTTCCTGGCTTCACCTTGAGCTTGAAGGTGTCTGCGTTGTATTGACATGATATAAATACAAATATCATTTTTGATGCATGTCTCTTATATATGACTAAAGGTTTTCTTGATTGATCAGATTCAGAATACCTTTGGCAGAGCAATTGTATAGTGG